CCAAGCTCCTAGAAGGGGATTACTTTACTAAGGACTGTAATGGTTGCTGGAACGTAGTCAAGTATCTGTTGTTTTTTTTTTTTTTTTTTTTTTTTACTAAGTGTTCCAGAGCAGGAAATGTCCTCATTATGCTATTACTTCAATCACATTGGGTATCCCAAAACCCCTTTACCCTATCCAAGTTCAATCCTTTAATAATAACAAAAACACAAGTCCATGGACTGTTTACTGACTCTGAAGGTACAAGTGTGGAAAACGCATGTTGCCTGGCTGTGCAGAACATAGGGGGGCCCAAACCAAACCAGAAAAGTTTAGCGACTTTATTGGTAGTAGCGAGGTCAAACGGGGAAAGTACTGAGGGTGGTTTTGTACAGGGTGTATTAAGGGGGACATATATCTGTGCAGTGGAGATGCCCCACAAATTGCATCAATCTTGTTTGTGAAGTGATTGGCAATCTCAAAGGCAGTGAGTGAGTTACTGGGTGGATGTGGTAGTGGAGAAAGTAGAGAGTTAAAAGTAGAGAAGAAATGATGGATTACAGATTATTAACGAGCAAGACAATGTAGACTTGTTTGGCAGCATGGAGGAAGGAATTGTATTTTAAGAAGGCAGATTTATAAGAGTTGAATGCTTGCTGGGACTTGGTTTTATGCCACAATCGCTCCAGTGCATGGCTATGTCTCTTAAGATTTTTGGTGTCGTCAGCCTGCCAAGGTTGTAATGGTTGGGGCCTGATACTTTGTGTAGTAAGAGGAGCAAGTGAGTCCAGTGTGGATGAGAGTGAACTGTTGTAGACAAAACTGGCCAGGTCAGGGCATGATAGTGGTGTGAAAGATTAAAGTGATGAAGGTTTCTACAGGCAATTGCTGCTTGGAGAGATAGGTGGTTGAAGACAAGGATACTGTGAAAGTAAAGAAGTTGTGATCAGAGGGAAGAAAGAGGGTGTTGGTGAGGTTTCCAGGAGTGCAAATATGGGCGAAAACAAGGTCAAGGGTGTTACCATTGGAGTGAGTGGAGGACTATGTCCATTATGTTAGGTCAAAAGATGAGGTCAAGTTAAGTTTAGATGTAGCCGGGCTGTCACCATTAATGGGGATGTTAAAATCACCAAGAATAATAGTGGGTATTTCAGAGGAGATAAAGTAGGGTGGCCATGCAGAGAAGTCATCAAGTAAGCGTGATACTAGTCCAGGAGCATGACACTGGCCCAGGAGGCCGATAGATCACTCTAATCCTTGAGAAATTGGAGAAAACAGACAAATTTACTGAGCCTATAAAGAAGAGAAGGGTAGAGAGGGAGGGGCATGAAGGATTCCACCTCCTTTCTGCCCATTGGGTCTGGGTGAGTGAGTCCAATGCAGGCCTCCATGGGAGAGGGCAGCGGGAGAAGTGGAGTCAGACGCTTGAACTATGCCTGTAATTGAAGTAGGTTAGGGAATGGGAGACAAAAAGGTCATGGATGAAGGTGAGCTTGTTATAGACAGAGTGGGCATTCCTGAGGACACATGAGAAGGGGGGGGTTTTTGGAAGCAAGGGGATCTAGAATAAACTGAGTGGATTGCGGAGGGCACCAGGTGTGGGGGTGAGATACTGGAGGACCAGGATTAGGAGAGATATACCCAGAGATTAGGAGGAGGGTGAGGAACGTAAAATGGGACTGGGGTGTATATGAGTGCACAGACCTCCCTGTCCTGGTGTTTGGGTCAGCCTGTGGGTATTTGCAAGAGGAGATGAGTACAGTATCAGGGAGAGGGTAGACATGAGGGTGACATGTACAAGCTTTGGGTGGAGAAGAGGGGTAAAGAAATGAGAATTTTTGAGAACAGAGGATACTATCATGATAAGGAAGAGTAGAGGGGACATATTAAAGGGTAAAGGGAGTAGGAATCTGACTTGTAAGAGATGCTCTACAAAATGTTGGTTTGCTTGCAGTCAGTTCGGAGTGGAACAGAGTTTTTTGTTATACTGTATCGTCTTGCTGCTTTAATTATCATGCTTTAAACTGCTTTGTTCAACTGCTGAACACTCCTGCAGAAAACAATGCCCTGTCTGTGACTTCCCCCACAAGCTGATCTAAATTTAAAAGGAGATGAGGCAGTGAAGGATTCACCAATTGATCAATTCGGAACTGATAAGGAACACATGAATTGAAGGGAAATTGTCAAAACCAGACCAGTCACAGACATAGGCCAAAGTCATAAACGATAATTGATTCTTTGATCACAAAAAGGAGGTGTGAATCAATCACCACACCACACATATAGGTAATTTTAAAAGACTCTTAGATTATTTAAAATAAAGATTACAGAGTGTCAGTACATAGCAATGAGACAGTTAAAAGCGGAACTTCACCCAAAAGGGGGAGTTCCGCTTGTTTGCATCCCCACCTCAATTGCCACATTTGCCACTTTTTGGGGGGAGTGGGTACCTGGTTTTGACAGGTACCCACTTGCTGCAGTGATCTGTCAGGAAGTTCAGCTCCTCCTCCTCCCCCCCTGCAGCCTTCTGGGACACTTCACAGGCCAAAACAAAAATCTCTACCTGATCCTGCCAGGTCTGTTATTGGCCAGTCTCAGCCAGGTGAGGGAGCTCTCCAAAAAACTCAATACTCTCCAGATATACAGAAAAAATGGATATGGTCGCTATCCCACCCTTGTTTTTTAAAAAATAATACTGTATATAAATATCTAAAAAGACATCATATATCAATTATTTGACATTTAGTGGAAAAACATTGGCAAATCCTTAAGGCTTCTGCACTGAACATATGGATGCTTGTGAGTGGGAGGTGATCAATGCTTGTGAAGAAAAATATACTCTATTTTGCTCTTACAACCACCTCTAGACCACAGTATCTAAATGATTCATGAAAGATTTATTCTTAAAGTCATTACATTAAACATATGGATGTCTGTGACAGGCGGCCAATGTTTGTCAAGAGGGATACATCTGAATATACAGTCATAGCCAAAAATATTGACACCCCTGCATTTCTGTCAGGTAATGCACCACTTCGCCCAGAAAATTGTTGCAATTACAAATGTTTAGGCATTCTCATGTTTATTTATTTTGTTTGTATTGGTATGACACAAAAAAGTGGAGAGACAAAAGCCAAATCTGACATATTCCACAAAAAAAAAAACAAAAATGGACTGAACAAAATTATTGGCACCTTCTCAAAATTGTAAGAAATAATTGCATTCCAACTTTGTGATGCTCCTGTAATTTGTAATAAAACCTACCTTTATCAATTTGAAATTCACACAGGCAACCAGTTAAAATGGTGAAAAACCTTTCTGTTGTGTGTCTGTTTGCCACATGGAGCATGGAGAAGAGAAAGAGCAGCAAAGAATTGTTGGAGAATTTGAGAACAAAAACTGTGGAAAAGCATGGGCAATCTCAAGGTTACAAATCCATCTCCAGAGATCTTAATGTCAAGAAGTTTACAGCCCATGGCATTGTAGCTAATCTCTCTGAACGTGGATGAAAGAGAAAAAATGATCAAAGATTGCAACAAAGGATTGTTCCAATGGTGGATAAAGAACCTCGATCAACTTCCAGACAAATTCAAGCTGACCTTTAGGCACAGGGTACAACTGTATCAGCTCACAGTATATGTTGCCATCTGAATGAAAAAGGACACTATGGTTGGAGACCCAGGAGGACCACACTGCTGACACGGAAACATAAAAAAAGCCAGATTGGAGTTTGCCAAAACTTACCTGAAGAAAACAAAATCCTTTTGGTAGAATGTACTGTGGACAGACGAAACAAAATTACAGCTTTTTGATAAAGCCATCATTCTACTGTTTTCAGAAAAAGCAATGAAGCCTTTAAAGAAAAGAATACAGTCCCTACAGTCAAACATGGTGGAGGTTCACTGATGTTTTGGGTTGCTTTGCTGCTTAAAGCACTGGATGTTTTGACCATGTACATGGCATTATGAAACCTGAAGGCTACCAAAGAATTCTGGGGTGCAATGTAGGGCCCAGTGTCAGAAAGTTGGGTCTCCGTCAGAGGACATGGGTCTTACAGTAGGACAATGACCCAAAGCACCAAGATAGCCAGTAGCTAGCCAACAGCAATCAAAATCTGCTCCACTGACTACAGAGTAGCCAAAACTTAATTTACCCAAACCTATTAGCAGCCTAACTAGGCAGGTGCTACATACAGTAGCCTTACTTATCACCTAGATTGTTTTCTTATTCTCCTGCTTTTGTACAACCTGATAAAAATTTGTACTACATACAGTCATGGCCAAAAATATTGGCATCCCTGCATTTTTCTGTCAGATAATGCACCACTTCTTCCAGAAAATTGTTGCCATTCCAAATGTTATGTATTCTCATATTCTGTTTATTTAATTTGTTTGTATTGGTATGACACAAAACAGTGGAGAAACAAAAAGCCAAATCTGACACATTCCATGCAAAACCACAAAAATGGACTGGACAAAATTATTGGTACCCTCAATTTGGTAGCACACACCCCTTGGAAAAAAAAAAAAACAGATTGGCAAACTCCAATCTGGATTTTTTATGTTTGTGTCAGCGGTGGACTATCCATATCTCAATCCCATAGAGCACCTGAGATTTCAAAACAGCAGCTGGGAAAATGAACCCTTCCAATCTGAGAGACCTGGAGCTGTTGGCGAAAGAAGAGTGGGTCCAAAATTCCAGTAGAGAGGTGTAAGAAGCTCTCATTGATGGCTGCAGGAAGCGATTGATTTCAGTTATTTTTTCCAAGGGGTGTACTACCAAATATTAAATTGAGGGTTCCAATATTTTTGCCCAGTCCATTTATGGAGTTTTGGGTGGAATGTGTCAGATTCAGCTTTTTGTTTCTCCACATTTTTGCATCATACCAATACAAACAAAAGAAATAAACACGAGAATGCATAAACATTTGTAACATGTGGTGCATTATCTGACAGAAATGCAGGGGTGCCAATATTTTTGGCCATGACTGTATGGCCTTAAATACTTCCTCTGGACCACAGTATCAAAATGTCTTCTCCCCAGGGGTGGACTGACAACTCATGGGGCCCCCGGGCAATAGGGGATCATGGGGCTCCTGTGTCCTTTCCCAAACTCAAAAAAGCCTATGAAAAAGGTACCAGGGGCATCTCAAGGGGCCTTCTACTGACCCTGGGCCCTCGGGCAGTACCCGAGTTTCCAAATGGTCATTCCGCCCCTGCTTGTCCCTATAGTTTGAAACAAAGGAGTGGATTTTGGGATTTCACATGAACAACATCTTCATACTATGTATATGTTTGTGAGAGGGAGGAAGGCTGTCGATTTGCTGTCTGTGAAAGGGAAACAACTGAGACTTGGAAACATATACAGTATATAACCTATATATGGATTACAGTGTCTCTACTAGACCACAGACTCCATAGGAAAAGAGAGAAATCTTGGGAACATTAATATCTGGATGAACTGAAGAAGCGGACAGTTCAGTTCCTAGGATTTAGTCCTTATAGCTTATCTGGTAATTCCTGGTGGCCACCACACACACAGATAGATAGATAGATAGATAGATAGATAGATATATATAGATATATATATATATAAGAGAGAGAACAAAAATATATAGAGATTATTACTGTTACAACCGATGATTTGGTGATTGGTAGTATTTAATTCTGTGTTGGTCTATGTCAATATGTATTTTAACATAGTTCAATAAAGGTATTGTAGGTGTTTTTTGTCAATTGAGTGCCATCATGAAGTATGTCTTTTGAGTTCTTACTCTCTATATGTATATATAGACACATAACAGGTCCCAGAAGACTGCGGAACCATTCCCAAAGCACAGTGTGGCTCACGCATGCACAGTAGGAAACTGGCTGTGAAGCTGGAAGACTTCACTGCCAGTTTCCCTTACCTAAGATGCCTGCACCCGAAGCCGAATGAAGAGACAGCTCGGGTGAAGACACCACTAGATCCCAGGACAGGTAAGCGTCCTTATATTAAAAGTCATAAGCTACAGTATTTTGTAGCTGCTGCCTTTTAGTTTTTTATTGAGGGAGACAGCAGCATTTACCCGTGAAAAAGTAGAGAAGACATGATGAGAGAGTGACAGAGGATGTGTTCAATTGCTGAACATCTGCAGGAAAATGATATGCAGCAGACTAAGCCTGCTAATTGTAATGACTTCAGTCAGTGCTAGAGGTAGTTAGAACACAAAGGTCACAGATAACAATTGGCTTAGATAACTTAATTTATTAGAACACACTTTTCAATTCATTTTGCATGCAAACTGCCCAAGGTAATTTCCAACATATGGCGCAGATACTAATGGCTCATTCACACCATGGTGCAGAAATGTCATTTTTTTTTTTTTTCTGCAAGGGAACAACTAAATCAGTTGTTCTCTGTGCCCTGTTCACCCCAAAACACTAGTATCATGTGTAGAGTTTTTTTATGTGAGTGTACATGCACATATCAGCACAGTACCAAGCAACAAAACAATAAAAAGGGTTGAGTGTCCTAGGGAGGGATGGAGAAAGGGAATTTTAAGGGACATTGTCCGAATACCTCCCCTAGCAGGTTTACAATTACAGTCCCTCAATACTGCATCAAGACCTGCTGAGAGGTGAGGGTGGAACACTTGGGTCTGTCTGTCTCTGAACACCTCCTTATATGATATATATATTTTTATCAGTATCAACTGGTCCATTCATTTTAATATTTAAAAAAAAAATATATATATATATATCTTTTAAAACACAAATAAATAAATTACTATATAATATATTCATTCTTTAATATACATTTATACATGCATTGATGTTAAATTGTGGGTTGCCCATTTTGTGTTCACACACCAAAATACAGGTACATTCATTATTAGGCCGTATCATCTATACTTAAATATATATTTAATACATATTATACTGTATGTGTAATAATTTTTATATACACATGTAGATATCTCATAAAATTCATTTTTATTTCCATTTTCATTTTTTGTCATTGAGTGATTGTCATCCATTCACCTGGCCCATCCCCCCTTCTAATTTTCTATCAACATTCGCAGTTCCATCATGCTTCATTATGGTTTATTCATTCATTCATCAATTCATCCAATCCATTGATCACTTTCCACAAGTTTTCCTCTAGTCTACAGTTGTCAGGTTGTGTTACATTGATAGAAGGCCACCAGGTGCCGCTCTCCCTGCATGGGTGCGCTCCAGCAGCCTTCTTCCAACCACATCAGATGTGACGTCATGATGACGCCATTCTGGTGCGTCATTTCTGGCCTATGGAGCACACGATCGATTCAGCGTGCGCTCCAGCGGGCATTTGTCCATCCACAGACTGGCTCCTCACTACACCCTGGCACAGTATAGCCATCTGCCTGTATGCCACGATCCCTTTTTTTACATGAAGGTCCTACACAACCATGCATTTCCTAAAGACCAGTCATAGTACCTTATATTTACTCATCTACATCCATTTACCAATCTGTTGGAACTGCTCATTTGCTACAAGGGACCAGTTAGAATTGAGTATTACGTTTTTTAGTTAAAGTGAAAAAACTAAATAATAATAATAATAATAAAATAAATAATTACAATAGTGCTTACAGTCTTAAACGTGCATGTGTAAATAGTGATGATCACTCCACTGTGCTCATGAGGGTCAATATATGCTACCCATGATATCTTCCAATGCATACATATAAACTCCCATAGAGACTGCACTTAACCAGTGCTATAAATATAGCATAAATAGTGCACACAAATACAAACGAATCCTTAATAGTGATTTGTCCCGTTAAATCCTGAATCCCATCATGTGGACCTGTGTGGTACACTTCCTGTATATCGTGATACAAGTACACCAACAAAAAGTGTCGATTGGATACAGTCTCTATAGTAGTGAACCATCCCTTTAAATCCGCTGTACTTGAAGTGAACCAGTGTAATCACACTGCTGCATAAACGTGTACATGATTACACTGGTTCACTTAAAGTACAATGGATTTTGTCCTGCCTTTTCTGCAGTTATGAAAGGGTTACAGAGGGTAACAGGCAGTATAACCTTTGATGTCCACACAGTAAAGAGTCGATGATTGATAACCGATGATCTTTTACTGATAACATGTGATCATAGTACATGAAATGTGAATGAATGTAAATGCGCGCGGTAAAACTGGAATACAAACAGAATAAACAGACATGAGTACATATCTAACTTCCTAGCTATGTGCATAACATTCCACAGTACATAGGAAGGGTACTTACAGACTTTGGGGGTCTAATCAAGCCCATATATGAAGAGAGAACAGCATCCCACATCTACTTGCATAGTAGAATTTCTTCAGTCTGAAGAGATGAGGTCACTTCCTCCCAAGTTAGCAGACAGGACGTCCCTAGCCTTAAAGGGGACAGACACTGCTGAATGCTAAAGAATGCCTTGTGTAATACAAGGCAGCACACTCCCCACCTGGCATAATAATGATATGCCACTATTAAACTCTTGGAAGGAGTAAAACGACTTCCGTGATGGGCCTAAGGTACACCTTAGGGGTGCCCCGTTTTACTACTCTGACCTCTACTTTCCTGACTCTGCTATCACTACTAGCATCAGTCCCCACAAATGAGTCCAATTGGCCCACTCGTTCCTGTGGGCCTGAGAGTCTTTTAGTAGAACAACATCTCCAACTTGTAAGTTGGGCTTGTCGGCTTGCCATTTGTTGCATGGTTGGAGGGTCATCAGGTACTCCTGCCTCCATCTCTTCCAGGAGATATTGGCAAGGCTTTGAACTTGTTTCCATTGCTTGGTGTACAAGTCTTTAAGATCAAAGTCCCCGTTGGGAGCTGTCACCATCTCCATCTTCTGGGTCAGCAACGTTGCCGGTGTCAAGACGGTTGGCATCTCTAGGTCAGTAGACACTGGGACCAAAGGTCTGGCGTTCATGATAGCCATGACTTCAGCCATCAGTGTGGTTAAGACTTCATGTGTGAGACGAGTAGATCCAATCTTTAGAAGCATTGCATCTATAATGCGACGAGCTACTCCAATCATCCTCTCCCAAGCTCCTCCCATATGTGAGGCATGAGGAGGATTGAAGATCCAAGAGCATCTTTGATTTTGAAGATAGTTACTTGTCTCTGAGTCTGTTGCAACGATCTTCAATTCCTTGCAGGCTCCAATAAAGTTTGTGCCACAATCAGAACGAATCTCTTTTGCTGGTCCTCGAATGGAGAAAAATCTTCTCAAGGCATTGATGAAGCTTGAGGTAGATAGAGACTCAATTACCTCAATGTGAACTCCTCTGGTACTCATACACGAGAAAAGAACAGCCAAGCGTTTGCTCTCTGCACTGCCTCCTCTGGTCTTGCGAGAAGAAATGTTCCAAGGACCAAAAACATCTAGGCCTACATTTGTGAATGGAGGATCTGAAGCCATGCCTGTCTGGAGGTAAGTCTGACATCTTCTGGACTTCAAGTTTTCCTCTGATTTTCTTGCAAGTTACACATTTGTTAATCACACTGGAGACTAGTCTTTTACCTCCTAGGATCCACAATCCAGCTGAACGGACTGCTCCTTCAGTGAGGTGGCGACCTTGATGTGCAACTTGCTCGTGGTGGTGTCTTGTCAGAAGAACGGCAACATGATGATTCTTGAGTATGACAATGGGATGTTTTTCTAGAATAGTCGTATCAGCTGCGGGTAGACGACCTCCAAGTCTCATCACTCCATCTTCATCAAGGACAGGGTTCAACTTTTTGAGCGGGCTGTGTTTAGAAAGTTCTTCTTTCTTGAGAAGACCTTGAATTTCTTCCTTGAAGGCTTCCTGCTGAACACATCTGATAATGGTGACATTGGCTCGCTCAAGATAGTCATTGTTACCCTGGTCAACACTGGCTGTTTTGCTGAAGGATCTGGCCAAGCAGATGAGTTTCCCTATGGCACGGATGAGTGACTTCCAGCTGGAAACCTTTCGAACCTACATGAGCCAAGACCTTCTCTGGTGGTTAGAGTCTTGTAAACTGCAACTAGAGGTCTTACCTCTTTGTCTTGGGTCTGGTTCTACAAGCTGAAAAGTTCCTTTCTGATCAGTCTCTTTCAGTTTCTGGTCCAGTCAAGAAGGATGGACCTGTGAACCAGTTAGTCTGTTTGAGGACAGCAGCTGGTACCAGTCTAGTCCCATGGTCAGCAGGGTTCTTGTCTGTACTGATGTGATG